GTGATTCAGCTGTCATCTTCGCATTCAGATTCAGAATCTTCGATGAAAGGAACTATGAAGTCGCAAGCAATTTGTTGCACTTCGCTAGCGTCGACGTAGACTCGCGCCGGAACACTACTTTCATGTCTTCATGAGCCCATCTCGCATATTCTCTCTTATGATGATCCTGAGATCGCCAATGCGTGTGCATGGCCGCGGCGGAGAGCGTGTGTACCACAAGTATTCGCATCCTCAACACCAACCTCGTTCAGCGTTTTGCGCAACAGACGCAAAAACTTTCTGTACTTGAACTTTTGAAACAATAGTTCAGACTTATCATTGGACATCCTTAGGGGAAGTTTTGCCGCCTCAACTGGGCACACCAGAAAATTCCTTTGACAGCAACACGAACGTTTCAACGTCTCGCCTCCGGGCACGTTCTTGCGTTTGCTCGATCGTATCTCGACGATGTCGTTTCGAATTCGTATATCGAACCTCCTCAATGTCAGAAGTTCAGAAGGGGCTCGTAAAAGAAATGCGTAGGCGATGATAGATCCTAGCACCAGCAATTTTCTCTTACAGCTAAGGCCCTTTACGACGAGTTCGTGGAGCAGGGCCGGACCGATACGCGGACGCACTGGCGGAGGGTTGTGCAGGAATCGTCGGATGCCAGCGGTCGACTCCTGAATCAGCGTCGTATCCCAGTTCTGGTCCAAGCCTAGCCATGTGTGCCACTTGCGGAGGTGGGAGAGATAACTCCTCGCTGTATCCGCGTTCCTGAACCCGGATATCCACCATAATACCCATCTTTCGGTCGCTGGTAACACTGGCACTTGGCGCCCATTCGTTAGAACCAGCTTCAAGGCTGCTCCGAAACGCATGTATGAACGGAAGCCAGAGACGTACTGCTTAAAAGATGAGGCGGATATCGAGCGAAACTTCCACGAGAGCGCGTACTCGAATCAGACCCGGTTAGAAAAAGTCGGTCTTAACGAGTCTTGCAATAGCAAGTAACCGGCTGGGAGTCGGCCGACTCCCGCATGACTCCAAAAGGTCTATCGTATTATAGGTAATCGATTTAACCGCAGAAATGAGGGACTCGTAGATTTGATGCAGATGACTTGAACGCCCTAGTCGTAAGTCTTCAAGGATATCGAGTATAGCTGACCGACATGACCTGGAGGGAATGCAACGGACTATGGTTCCGTCCACACCGTCAAGCAGCTTCCGTAACTCGGTCAGACCAGCTTTTAAGAAAGAGAGACTAAGTGTCACGAACTTACTGAGGGGTAGGCCGTACGTGCCGTTGCGGACACGGGTCGGCGGTATCACGAGGAGAGCCAAGCTGAACAATGAGCAGGGATCGAATCTCTTTCCCAACGTAAGCTGACGGAATCGGAAACACTCTTAATTCGAAAAAATGCCAGTGCGACGATGAGAGTCAGCAGAAATTAGATTGCAGGGAAGTACTGGCCGCTTATGACTAAAGAAAGCAGTGAGACAATCAGTGGCGGGGGCTTGGAGTGTCAGACGGATTGGACTTTGATCCCACTCTAGCCACCCACACCTTGAGCTGAAGTCGAGCAACATTCGCCCAAAAGGAGGAAATCATCTTGTTCATCAGAGGGCAGGAGGAAGATCCCTTGATCGGGGCATACTCTACCGCCGTATTGCCGACGAAGATAGTCAGCCATCTACCAACTATATACTGACCGAGAGATTGTGGTGCGGCAAGAACGGCGTATCATTCGAGTATGTTAATATCGTCTTTTCCTTCGAAGAGACTCTGTTGTAGGATGGAGGAGAGAGCGGATGAGAAGTACACTGGCTTTTTAAAGTCATTGGACACCAAAGCAGCACCGATTTATCCACTGCCGCACGCGTCTGTATAAAGGACCGAACTGATAGCCTCATCCGAGCTAGGAAGAAGAAGCGGCACCTTCCTCGCTGAACTGGAGCTTCCAGAAAAACCAAGAGATTAACAAGAGCATATCTCACCCCCAGCCAGAAGCGATCACGGGCTCTCCATGATCAATGACTGACAAATTTAGGAAGGACTCTGAGGTAGGACCTTGGGGCAGAAGTGTCCAAGGCCCCGCTAGCAAACGTCAACTTCTCTATCAACTTATGAGCCGTTGAAGATGGCAAGCGGTCATCCTGCAACACTCCATCGATCGAAGAAATTAGTTGGGCGCGCTTATCATCTGGAACCGACAAGACAATGTAATCACCATCGATAGCTATGTCGAGCCCCAATACTGGGATCTCAATGAAAGGTGGCACAGCCTTCTTCTCATTTAAACGGAAGTCTATCACCCTGTGAAGCCACACCCATGCCTCATATGCGGAGTTGGCCGTAGCTGAAGATTCAACGCCAAAGTAATCGTCCAAATAATTGATCACTGGGATAGCGAGGACGACTCGACCAAGGTGAGCCAAGGCCTGACTTACTCTACAATAATTGATCACCGAGCTGGAGGCCCCGAAGGCTTGTGCCACGTGATAGAATCCCGAGACCGGGCAGTAGCTACCGCGGCCTCGTGTGTCGGAAGAGATACTTTATTATGGAAGAACATGGTCTTGTTCACTCCAGACCTTTTAAAATCATCTTAAGGCCGTACTTTTGTGCCTTGATCTACTTCGAAGCGACGAGGCAACAGAAGACCCACCAAAAATGGATTCTAGCTGTGGGGGACTGAAGGGGTCCATCATCGTGTTCTCAGCAACCTCCTCAGGAGCCTTCTCCCACAGCAGACCATCAAATGGACATGGCTCTCTACTTACAATGTCAGCCAATTCATATGCCTCCTCCACGCCTCCAGTGAGAAGCTCAGTGGCAGACATGACGGTCACTTTCTTAGACTTCTTAGAGTTAACCTTTGGCTTGATCGGTTTAGCCCGAAAGACGTCATTGCCGCAATGACGCAATGTTCGCAATGTCATTGCGAATCGCAATGACATTGCGAACATTGAACTTGCCAGTTAACTCCAGGCCTCCGGCTAGCTCCCTAGGTAGTGTATAGTCGGGATAGTTGGAAGCCTTCAGCATACGTCCGAACAGACCCAGGTTCAAGGAGACTGTCAGAGGCCCGACTATGTCATCCGAGGGCTCGAATTTAGGTGACAAAGGGGCTTGGTCGCTTCATTATTCCATAACCCTATGCCTATCACGAATCAAACCCTCTGGAGCACACTTGAGTAAGCGTTTGTGACAGGACGCACTGGCGAATATCGACGCCGGGAGCCGGGGGGCTTGGGTAAGGGGGTGCTGACATGACAGCGAGGCAGCGATATGCTCAGGCGGACTCAGCTCTTTCAAAGCATCTTGCATACCTTCGTCTCGGAGGGCTCGCGGCTGAACGCCAGAGCCTATCTTCGAGACCTTCGGTACGAAGTAGAGAGACTTATTAGAGCCCTGATCGTCGGAGGTTTGGAGACAAATCAGGTCTTGCAGTGCCAGGCATGCCTCCGAGTCTATCTCCGTTTTCACGGCCACCGTTTCCTGCTCACAGCTTCGTGCGGTAGATGTTTTCGCAGGAAGATGGCACCCTTCGTGCGACGCCGGCTTCTCTTGTAGCGAACGAATCGTGACGGTCACGTCCGCGGATGAACACTGCACAACACAACATTAACTCGAGTGGTCAGGCGAAACGATGACATGACCATAATCTGTGGACCGAACGGTCCCATTTCCCAACGAGGCTTCGAGCAAAATCGATCACGCTACGTGATGAGCGAGCCCCATGACCGGGCGTACCCGGCTCATATCCACTTGGAGGCATTTCATCGCGGTGGAAACCAAGTTGCACTTGACTTTCACCTAGCAGTAGCATGTGTGTGGAAGGATAGAATGTCATCCATGTACGAACACTGAGGTGGCGTAGGGAGGTCGTTGAGAGTGTCGGATGAATCCGTGAGGCCCTCAGCCGTG